TGTTACCTGGCACCCTCCCCGTGGCGTCGTTCCTTCCACGCGCCCTCTTGCTGCCCTGGTCCGCGCCCTGCTGCTCCCCACCCGTGTCTCGCCGTTAAGCGCGCCCTCTGCTCCTCGCGCACGCCTACGCCCTCCCTCTGATCCCCATCCCCCACCCCGCGCCTCTCCGCCTCCTTCGGATCGGGGCACCCCCCGGAGGCAGCCAGGCTGTCTGAGAGAGTCATGAGATTTGGGACCCAGCCTAGCGGGCCGAATGCCGTGTGGACGTGGGCAAGGCGCCGCCCCTCGCTGGTCTCGGCGTCCCCAGCCGGTGCGATGGGGGCATTGCTTTCCTAGCTGCCTTTTGATTCCTTTGAGGGGGAGTCAAAGCCATTTGATTCCCCTCCCCAAAGTAGTGCATGCTCATCTAAAAAACAAAGCAAAAAAACTTAAAGAATATAAACCTGTACATAGTAAAAAGCGAAAGCTTCACTCATTCACCACCTACTTGGTGAGCATCTGTCTTCCTGGGGATTCAGTGAGAAATGAGCTGTTTCTCGCCTTCACAGAACATGGGAGGGACAGACAATAATCAAGTAAACAAGATAATTTCCCAGCATGATTAAGTGCAATGGAGGCAATAGAACAATTGTGTCATGAACTGTGACAGGCACCTCTTTGGATGAAGTGGTCAGGGGAGGAACAAAGGTCTGAAGGGTGAGAGGCAGGCAGCCAGGTTAAGGTCAAAAGACAAGTGGTCCAGGCGAGGAACTGGCAGGTGCAAAGGTGCTGGGGGCCCCAACCTGCTTCCTGAGCCAGGGCCCTGTGGGGTCTAGGGGTGGGAAGAGAAGGGCTTCCCCACCTCTATCTCTTTCCCCAGGGGTTGCTGAAGTGACAGTTTTGGTTATTATGCCAGGAGACATTTTTCTAGAAGCACACAAACATGCACATAATTTTCTTTCTTCCTCCTCTCCACCCCTCTTTATTTCAAACAAAACAAAAATAGCTCTTCCTGTGTTCCCAAGCTGGTCTGTTCACTTCCTTCAGAGCTACTTCACCCTCCCCCTGGGTTCAGGCCTGGGAGGAAGCACAAAGTACAGAGTCACAGACCTTGGGCCTGCAAGGGAGAGCCTGACTCCAGGGACTCACCTGCAAAACTGGTTTTGTGTCAGCAGCATGAAGCAGGAATAGGGGTGGGAAGGGTGATTGGGAGGCCAGAGGTCCACCTGCATTTCACGGGATCTGAAAATGTCTGAGATTGCCCACTTTTCAGGGCCACCTGAAAACTTCATTTCTCAGGTTCTGGTCTTAACTCTGCCAGCTTTTCTTTTCTGGGCCTCAGTTTCCCAATATACAAAATGGGGAGATGAGACACAATAATTTCCAACTCAAATCTAGGCTAGCTTTTAAGGTAATTTCCAAGATAAATAACTTTGCTCACCCACCCTCATTTCTTTATGTGTAAATAGGGCATAGCAATTATTACAACAGAATCAAATCAGATCACAGGGAAAAAGTTCTATGAGAAGTAAAAGATTGACCAGGTGCAGTAGCTCACATCTGTTATCCCAGCACTTTGGGAGGCTGAAGTGGGAGGATTGCCTGAGCCCAGAGGTTGTCCACCAGCCCGGGCAACTTGGTAAACCTCATCTCTACAATAAACCAAGAAAAATTAGTCAGGTATGGTGGCTCATGTCTGTAGTTCCAGCTACTTGGAAGGTTGAGGTAGAAGGATCACCTGAGCCCAGCAGCTTGAGGCTGTGGTGGTCATGAGCGTGCCACTGCACTCCAGCCTGGGCGACAGAGTGAGATTCCGACTCAAGACAAAACAACAAAAGATTATATTTAGATGAGAAAATTTAGACTCCTGAGAGATTATCGGTTTTGTGCAAGGTCACATACTATTTCAACCCAGGGCTACTACATTGCATAACTCTAGAAAGAAGACATTTCCCTTTCATCTATGTGAATGCGCCCCCTGGAGTTGTGGTCCTGATTTAACTCTGTCTTCAGGGGTATGCTTTTTTTTTTTTTTTTGAGTTGGCGTCTCACTCTGTCTCCTAGACTGGAGTG